TTCTTCTTCTTCTTCTTCTTCTTCTTCTTCTTCTTCTTCTTCTTCTTCTTCTTCTTCTTCTTCTTCTTCTTCTTCTTCTTCTTCTTCTTCTTCTTCTTCTTCTTTGTGGGACCTTTGCTGATAGGGTTTGAACTGGGTGGGACCGAGACTGAAAGAGATCTCAGGGCTGTAGCGGAAGGCTTGATGAAACCGTCAACTTGGACAGTGCGCAGCAGCAGCGGCAGTGAAAAAGGCACTCCTCCTGCTGGCAATTGCTATGAAAGGCTCTGGAAAGATCAGTTGTAATTCTAGTTGGCCTCCAGGCCCCACCTGGAGGTTATACAAAAACGGAGGGTCACGGTGTTAGGAAGCTATGCAAAAGTATATAGCACTGTGTATAATAGATGTATGTTCAAGGTAGATCAGTTTTGTGCTTTTCCTTTTCTTCTTTTTCGACACTGCTATATAAATATTGGTCTCAAATATTATCAAAAATAGGTTTCACCCAAACAAAACATCAAAGTGCAGGTTTACAGTCTGTCCAAATATTCAGACAGCACCTTGTCAGTATCACAATCACTAGCCCCACAGGTCAAAGTCTCCTCCCTCCACAGCGGCCATTTCCCCCAGGGGGAGTGATTGCTGCAGCCTGGGACCTCCAGGCCCTGCCTGGAGGCTGGCAGCCCCACCTCCCACCCCTTCTCAACAGCCCTGAGAGGCCAGCCCTACTCCTTTGCCCGGCTGTCAGCAGGATCCTGGCACTTCCTGGCATCCAGCTTGCCTCCGCTTTGCCAGAAATAGATCAGAGGGAAGAATGACCCCCCCCCCACCCGTCCTTGCCCTTCTGGGCTTGGGGCTATTTTTAGCTCCGAGGGAACGCATTGTGTGGCTGCGGCTGACGTCATTCCGCGTTCTCCTGATGACTGGATCTCACCATGGCCCCCACGCCCCCCACTGGGCTCCTTCCCAAAGGCCCCCTTCTTTACTTGGACAGACCGAGTCCCCTCAAACAGCAACACCTCCTCCTCTGGGAAGGCTCTTTGAGGGAGAGTAACTTCACCAAGCTGAGGCATATGGACAGCGCGGCCCAGATGGAGGGGGACAGGCAGGGGTCCAGTCTGGTGTCCTGGTGAAGTGCGCGGACTCTAATCTGGGAGAACCGGGTTTGATTCCCCACTCCTCCTCATGCAGCTGCTGGATGACCTTGGGCAAGCCACAGTTCTGACAGTTCTGACAAGAGCTGTTCTTGAAAAAAGAGCCGTTTCTGCCAGAGCTCTCTCAGCCCCACCCGCCTCCCAGGGTGTCTGTTGTGGGGAGGGGAAGGGAGAGGAGCTGCTCTGAGACACCTTTGGGTAGTGAAGGGCCATGGGGTATGAATCCAGTCTCTTCTCTTCTCTTCTTATTTATTTATTTATTTTTTATTTATTAGATTTTTATCCCGCCCTCCCGCCGAAGCGGCTCAGGGGGGCTTACAACAATTAAAAAACAGTAAAGATTAATGCAGTACATCTAAAAATAGTCAATAAAACAGCCAATATAACTTATTAACAATAAAATAACAATTAGAGCATTATAGTTTGCACATGGCGGGCGTCCATATAAAGTGCTAGAGTGTTTGATCTGGGCTGTTAAACGCTTGGTGGAATAGCTCAGTCTTTACCGCTCTGCGGAATTGGTGGAGATCCCGCAGAGCGCGGATTTCATTCGGGAGCTGATTCCACCATACTGGTGCAGCTAAGGAAAACGCCCGGGTTCTCGTTGCTGTTAACTTAGTGTCCCTAGGGCCAGGGGGGACTAAGCGATTCTGCGATTCAGATCTCAGTGCTCTTGGGAGAACGTACGGGGAAAGGCGGTCCCGCAGGTAGGCAGGCCCCAGACCATAAAGGGCTTTAAAGGTCATAACCAGCACCTTGAAGCGTATCCGGAACGCTATTCTTCTTCACTCCCGTGGTCCCTTCGGGCCAATGCTCCCTCTAAACTGTGGAGTCCTGTGAGCAAAAGTTCTACTTTGTGAGCTCCTGGCATTAAAGTTGTGAGCGAGCGATTGGGCTGCTGCATACATTAGTTTTCTCTGGAGTCCTCCTTCCTGAGCGGAGACAAAAATGTGTGAGCTGGAGGGTAAAAAACCGTGAGCCGGCTCACACTGACTCAGCTTAGAGGGAACGCTGCTCTGGGCACATTAGTTGCCCCCAGGCACCCTGCGCCACCATTCCCGGGCAGCTGGAGTGCCTGGTGCTGAACGAGAACTTAAATGCAGCATACATTTTGGAAACCCAGTGGGATGGGGTGTCTGGGGACAGTGGCAGAGCCTCTGACGAAGAGAGCTGTGTGTTTCTTGAAAGCTTAGGCTATAATAAAGTTTGTTCATCTTCAAGGTGCAACTGGGCTTTTTAGTGTTTTGAACAAAGTCTGAGTCCTTAAAGACCAACAGAGTGTAATTCTGGGTGTAAGCTTTCGTGTGTAGGCACACACCTTCAGATAGAGCATCTATTTGGTATGCAGAAGGTCATAGAATCATAGAACCATAGAATGTTAGAGTTGGAAGGGACCCTGCAGGTCATCTAGTCCAACCCCCTGCCAGTTTGGTGTCATGGTTAAGTGTGTGGACTCTAATCTGGGAGAACCGGGTTTGATTCCCCACTCCTCCACTTGCACTGCTGGTGTGACCTTGGGTCAGTCACAAGCTCTGGCACAACTGTCCTTGAAAAAGAGCAGTTTGTGTCAGAGCTCTCTCAGCCCCACCCACCTCACAGGATGTCTGTCGTGGGGAGGTGAAGGGAAAGGAGTTTGTAAGCCGCTCTGAGACTCCCTTGGGTAGTGAAGGGCGGGGTATAAATCCAATCTCCTCTTCTTCTTCTTCTTCTTCTTCTTCTTCTTCTTCTTCTTCTTCTTCTTCTTCTTCTTCTTCTTCTTCTTCTTCTTCTTCTTCTTCTTCTTCTTCTCCTCCTCCTCCTTCTTCTTCTCCTCCTCCTCCTCTCTGCAGGAGCATAGCTGAAAGATAATAGCCCTACAACATATCTGAAAAATGGTTGTCCAGCCTCACCTTGAAAATGTTCAGCGAAGGAGTATCCACCACCTCCTGAGGTGGTCTGTTCCACTGCTCAACTACTCTGACAGGAAGTTTCTCCTGATATTCAGCCGGTAATGACTCCCTTGTCATTTCCACCCATTAGATCTAGTCTTGCAAACCAGAGCAAGAGAGAATAGATCCGCTCCATCTTCTACATGACAGCCCTTCAGATACTTGAAGACTGCAGTCAGGTCCCCTCTAAGTCTTCTCTTTCCCAGGCTAAACAGACCCAACTCTTTCAGCCTTTTCTCATAAGACTTGGGTTCCAACCCTCTCACCACCCTGGTTGCCCTCTTCTGGACACGCTCGAGCTTCTCGACATCCTTCCTAAAATGTGGTGCCCAAAACTGGACACAGGACTCCAACGGTTGCACCATCCAGCCCACATATAACCAGCTTATCCTCAAGGATATCATGAGGTCATACGTTCAGTCCCTGGCATCACCAGCTAAAAGGGCCAGGCAGTCGGTGGGAGGTGTGAGAGCCCTCTGCCTGAGGCCCAGGAGAGCAGCTGCCAGTCTGAGTAGGCAAGACTGACCTTGGTGGACTCTGGAGCCCCATCCTTCCTGAGTGAAGACAAGAATGTGTGAGCCAGAGGCTAAAAAACTGTGAGCCTAGCCCACACTAACTCAGCTTAGAGGGAACACTGTCCCCGCGTCTTCCTTCTGGAGAGTTCAGCTCCATCTCTGTTGAGGGTGCAAGCCACAGGGGTGAGGGGCACAAGCCCTGTCTTGGGGCGAGGGCGGGAGGGGCAGTTCCAGCTGTCCCCTGGCTCACACAGACTGTGGTGGGAGGGAATGTTTGCTTTGCTCTCTGGTGGGGAGGGGGGTGCCCTGCGTGCCTGACCTTGGCCGGGGGAAGCACCAGCAGAGATATAAGAGCTGTCCCCATTCATTCCCCCCTTGCAGAGGGACGGGGCTGAGCCAGGCGCTGGTGAGGGGCCGGGCAGCGAGAGAGGGGGCGATGGGAGCCCGCAGCCGGCTGAGCCCCCGGGCGGCCCACTGCAGCATCTCCCGCTCCTTCTGGGCCGGGCGGTCCAGCCACTCGGTGGCACCGGTGGTGGCCGCCGCCGAGCCGAGCCCCTCCAAGGTGCTGCCCTTCGAGGCGATTCCCCGCAGCGGCCACAACGCCTGGCTCCAGCTCTACCACTTCTGGAGGACCAACAGCTTCCAAAACCTCCACTACATCATGCAGAAGAACTTCCAGCGCTTGGGACCCATCTACAGGTGAGGCCCTGCTGGTGGCACAGTGGGTGTGGGGCCCCAGCTGGCTTCTTGGACTGACTCACACCCCAGACGCTGCTCTGGGGCAAGTGATGCTCTGTATTCTTGGTGCTTTGGGGGGGGGCAACAGTGGGAGGGCTTCTGGTCTCCTGGCCCCACTGTTGGACCTCCTGGTGGCCCCTGGTATTTCTGGCCACTTTGTGACAGAGTGTTGGACTGGATGGGCCACTGGCCTGATCCAACATGGGCTTCTCTTATGTTATGTTCTTATGCTATCCGGCAATAAGCTCACAGGACAAGGATGGTTCTCTCAGCCTCCACAATTGATTGCTTAATGGCCTGGAACAGTTAGGGGAGCTTTTGCGGAAGAGGAATCCTCCCATTTGAGGGCTGAAGTCTAGTCTGTTGTGTGTTATGTCACAAGATCCACAGCAGAATTCGAACGCGGCTCCCCCCAAGGCTGAAACCCTGCCAGACTAGAGCCTGTGAGGCTTGCCTGCCCACTCAAGAGCTGAACCCTGTGTGAGATCGCCAGCCTCTAGGTGGGGCCTGCAGATCTCCCGGAATTATCACAGATCTTCAGACCACGGAGATAAGCCCCCGGAGAAAACACCTGCTTTGGAGGGCGGACTCCCTGGCCTTATGCCTCACTGAAGTTCCCCCTCCCTTCCCCAAAGCCCACCCTCCCCAGGATCCACCCCCCATTCTCCAGGAATCTCCCAACCCGGAGTTGGCAACCCGAATTCTCTCTCGTTTGGCAGGGAGACGGTAGGCACCCACAACAGTGTCAACGTGCTCCTGCCCCATGACGCAGCCCAGCTCTTCCAGTCGGAGGGGATCTACCCACGCCGCATGGGCATCGATTCCTGGATCGCCCACCGGGTACTGCGGAACCACAAATCCGGCGTCTTCCTCTTGTAAGTGAGGGTGACGCGGGGGCAGTACGAAAGATCCACTTTCCCCCTTCGCAGCTCAGCACAGTGGCTCACGTGAGCCGGTTTGGTGCAGTGGTTAGGAGCGTGGACTCAAATCTGGGAGAAGCGGGTTTGATTCCCCACTCCTCCACATGCAGCTGCTGGAGCGACCTTGGGTCAGTCACAAGTTCTCTCAGAACTGTTCTGTCAGGAGAAATCCTTGAGAGAGCTCTCTCAGCCCCACCGACCTCGCAGGGTGTCTGTTGTGGGGAGGGGAAAGGAAAGGAGATTGTAAGCCACTCTGAGACTGCTCCGGGTAGCGAAGGGCAGGGTACAAATCCAATCTCCTCCTCCTCCTCCTCTTCTTCTTCTCCTCATTTATCCATTTATGACAACCCTGACACCCTACCTTTGGTTTGTGGCATACGGGGGTTTACAATCCCAAGATTAAAACCATCCCCTCCCTCCTTAAGGAAATGCCTGCAACTGAAACACTGTTAAGGGCCCCTGCAAATGAAATGGCCTTACGGGGCCTCCTAGAGATGTCTCAAGATGGTGCCCCCACCCAGGGGTCATTTCGTGGAAAAAGAGGTGCAGGAACTCATTAGCATACCTTACTAGCATACCTTATTTGCATATGCCACACCCCCTGACATCACTGGAAGTGTGTCAGAAGGCAACACCCAAAGTTCAGGCTCCACTGTCCTCGCAGAGGAGGGAGAGCTTGTACCTGAATAAAACTTAAAGGTGCCACTGGACTGTTTTGGACCGGGGGGCTGGGGGGGGGGCCTCTGCAGCTTACTTGGCTGCTTCTTGCTCCTTGTGGCCCGACTGAGGGCTGCTGGGAGCAGGGGGCGGGGCTTGTGGCATGTGCCCGCCCCCTGGGCTCCTTACTACTGGAGCTCCGCTCCTGTGCGCTCCCGCAGGAAATGACCCTTGCTCCCACCTCCTGAGGGAGCCCACATTCTACAAGATGGGGGCTACTCCACAGAAGGGATGGCCTCTTGGCCATACCAAGTCTCTCACCTGATGCAGGGGAACCATCAGAAGGTGGCAACTTGAGGATCATAGGTAGGGCACGCCGGGAGAGATGGTTCTTCTTCAAAAGTGTGGGTTTTATAGATCACAAGTCACAGGCAGCACCTCGACCTGAACTCGGAAACAAACTGGCAGTCAGGGGAGTTGCCTTAATACAGGCAAGATGTGTTCCCCTTGGCCAGCCCCTGGCGATGAACTGGGCTCTTCTGCGTTCTGAACCAGATGCCATTTCTGGGGCGCCTTCAAGGGTAGTCCCATGTCAAGCATCTTACAGTAGTCCATCTGAAGAAGTAAGCCAGTGACTCACGAACGCTCCCGCCCTACCAACAATTTTTGTTAGCCTTTAAGGTGCTCCTGGACTTTCTCTTTTCCAGTAGTCCATCTGTGAGGTTACCAAAGGATGGACTTGCACAGCCAGGTCACTTGAGTCTAAGAAAGGAGAGAGCTGGTAAAAACGAAATGTTGACGAGAAAAAGCACTCTGGGGCACCTGTTTTTTCAAACAGCAGCGCTGGGTCCATTGTGAGCACCCCCCAAGCTCTTCATCTGTGCTGCAAATGCCACCTCCACTCCTTCCGAAACCAGTGGGCCCAATCCCTCTGAAGCAACCGCCTTTCTGACCTGCAGCGTGTCTGGCTTCAGCTCCAGCTTTTCTGGCTTCAGGCTCTGGCCCTAAATATCTGAGTTCTGTTTTGGGTGCCTTCACCACTACAGGTCAAGCCTCCTTCTCCGATGAGTGGTGTCATGATCTGGGCTGTGCAAGTACGGTCTACTAGGCCCAGGGAGCCTGACTAGCAGTACGGGAGGCTGGGCCTACAACTCCCAGAAGCCCCTGAGAGGTTTTAGAGCCAAAACTGACCAATAAGAAAAGAGGAGGGCTTGGAATAAAAGACCTGGAGCAGCAGGAAAAGCTGTTCTTCTTCCCAGAGGGCAGAGCCAGAAGGAAGGCTGCTGCAGGGGAGAGACCCTCATCCTGAGGGAAGGGTGAGTCGTCTAGTGCCACTTGGAATAGTGAGCTAGGGACAGTGTATATTTAGACACGTTAGGGCATTTGATTTTTTTCTTTTCACCCACTTAATGTTAAAATTCTGCACCTTGTTTGTTTGACCTCCTATAAAATAAACTATTTTCACTGTTCACTCTGCCTGGTCCTCATGTCTGTTATTTGGCCCAAACAAGGGAGGTCTGAAGGTCTTGGGAGGGGGCTCTGGGCCTTCTCAAGGGATCCTAAATCCAGAGTGGTGGCAGCGTCAGGGGACACCCCACCTGAGCCATGACAAGTGGTCAGAGTCAACTTTTCTCTTC